CTGCACATCCCTTCCCTCTGCACATCTCTTCCCACTTCACATCCCTTCCCACTGCACATCCCTTCCCTCTGCAAATCCCATCCCACTTCACATCCCTTCCCACTGCACATCTCTTTCCACTTCACATCCCTTCCTACTGCACATTCCATTCCACTGCACACCCTTCCCACTGCACACCCTTCCCACTGCACATCCCTTCCCACTGCACACCCTTCCTACTGCACATTCCATTCCACTGCACATTCCTTTCCACTGCACTGGTTCTCTGAGTGCTAACTTTACCTGTGGTCCCATCACTGGCAGGCCTCTGCAAGTGGGGTACTGGCCTTGGTTTTCCTTCAGCCTCCTCTGCTGTCCTTCCAGGAGAGGTCAGGCTGGCATGGGTCCCTGGGAGAAGGTGTGAGGTGTCCTAGGAGAGGCAAATTAATGGTTTGAGTCTCTCTCTCTCTCTCTCTCTCTCTCTCTCTCTCTCTCTCTCTCTCTCTGTGTGTGTGTGTGTGTGTGTGTCCCTGAGCCAACTCCATCTTCAGGCTGTAGTAGGTAGATATTCAGTCTTTTCCAAGTGTGAACAGGACAGTTAGGCTGCTCTTTGGCACAAACTGGTGGAGCAGAGAGAAGGCAGCCCGAGGAGATGTATATGCCATTCTGTAGTGTAATGGCATAGAGAGTGAGGACAGGACTGGGACCCTTACCTTGGGAGTAGAGTGTTCCTCAGGCTCCTGAGTTCTCGCCTGTGTGCTGCCATTGCTGAGAGTATGGGGGCTGTGAATCACAGGTCTGGACAAGGTGGGCAGCTGGGGGCTGGGAGTGTGGGCAACTGTGGTGTTGAGTGGCAAAGGTTGGCTAGTGGATTTGAGGATGTCCCGACATCGTCCCCGGTCAGAGAGGTCCAGAGGCTTGTCTGGGGGACAGTCCTGAATGGTCACATGTATCTCCTTCCTTGGGGGGCTACATTGGCTTGCGGACTGAGGATGCCACCCATCAGGCTGGGTCTCTGTGCTCAAAGCTGTCCTGGGGGCCTCACTCTCAGAGCTCTCAGAATCTGAACCAGCTGGTGGGGAAGATGGCATATCTTCTTGTGCAGATGGGACCCTCAACCTGGCACTGCCTGCCCGTGCCCGTGCCCGCAGCTGCTGCTGAACCAGCAGCAGGTGCAATGCTCCTTCCAGCCGTGGGTCCTGTATGCCCATCAAGGCACCAGGCTCTTTCCATGCCTCTGCCTCCCTAGTTTTCAGGCCCTGGGGCAGGGGGCTATTGGCAGCTGTAGCAGGAGCCGGGGGGCTGCTGTGGGGGCTTTGCAAACGCAGAGACAGGTGACGATTCAGGAGGCAGAGGCGATCAGTCTGAAGGGAGCGCTTCAGCGTCTCATAGGCTATGGCTGACGGCCGAGAGGCCCTCAGGAAGCTAGGGGAAAGAGAAGAGCGACTGGCTAAGTGAGGACAATAGGCACCTCACTTCATGGATGGTCAGGCAAGCCACCTGAGGTCACATGGTCATGGGAGAGGGCGGATTCTCAGGCCCTGGTTCTGGAGGCCATTATGTATAGAAGAAGGTGGCAGATTTGATCAAAAAGGACCCAGAGCATGGTCACACTGGATCCTATGCCTCCTCCTGTGTCTTTAGCTTTAAATGCCGACTTGACGCAGCCTCACTTCACCTGAGAAGGGAGTCTCAGTTGATGGGCTGCCCAGATCTGATTGGCTGCTGCGTAAGAGATTGTTTTGATTATTAATTGATGGAGGAGAGCCCAGCCCATGGTGGGTGGCACCATCTCTGGGGCAAACGCTCCTAGGCTATATAAGAAAGCTAGCTGAATGTAGGCACAGGAGCCAGATAGCAAGCACCCTCCACCACGGCTTCTGCTGTATTTCCTGGTGGTGGGTTCCCTGGTAGAGGTAATGCTGCACAGAGGAACAGAAGAGCTAGCAGGGCTGTCTTCAGGTTCAGGCTTGAGTCTCTGCTCTGACTTCCTTCAATGATGAGCCTTGACCTGCGAGCTGAAATAAACCCTTTCCTCCCTTCGGTTGCTTTTGGTGTGAGTTTTTGCTTATCCCAGCAACAGAAAGTGAATTGCAATATCTGGTGAGGGGAGCACCAGCTACCTAGATCCTCCTGTCCATCTCCCACAATCCCACTGGCTCTGCTAGGTGTCTACCTAGGTCTTCAGAGTGCCCGAGATAAGGTGTCTACCAGTGTCCTGCCTCCACCATGGCCTGGTCACTCAGGAGCTGTAGGAACTGTGAATCAAGCTGGATGCCCAGAAAAGTCAATTTGGGGAAAGGTAGGTTACCTGGAGAGATACTGAGCAGCCCTCCCCAGGCTGCTGGTCCTCTACTATGGAGCAGCAGCAGAGCCTTGCTCACAGTGGTGGGTAGAGCCTCACCTGTCCACAGGGAGGCCATGTTCGTATGGTGGGCTGGGTGGGCTGCTTCTGGTGGATGGCGGCGGGGGTGTTCCGTTGGCAGTGCCACTGTCCGGTGGGCAGGCCCGGGAGCCGGGCCGCACCACGGCTACTGTCGAGTGTAGTTGGTTGGAGATGCACTGAGGGCTCTGTACAAAGTGGGCGGGTCAGTCTGGCAAGTCATCTCACCCAGGCTTGCCTCCCCCGCCTCACATGAAGCCCAGTGTCCCTGTCTGGCCTGGGGACAGGCCTAATGGGTGTGAAGTTGGCAACATAGTACCTTGCACAAGGCAGGACTATGGACTATGGGGCCAGCCCACTTGTCAGGATGGCACTGAGTGTTGGGGGGTGGAGTCAGAGGGCAGGACCATTTTCCTCACCATGTCCAAGGTCCTTGGCTCAGGCAGGTTGGCAGCTGGAGAGATTCTAGCCACTGGGGATGTCTTGTGGCTTGACACCTTATCTGTGGGAAGAAGAATGATGAGGAGCTAGGGAGACACTGTGGGATCCCCCAGGTGCCCAATCTCCCTGCCTCCCACTAACCCTGTGGACCTGTGCCTGGCTGTTCTTCCTCAGCCTCCTCGGGGTCTCCTGGGGGGATATCGGGGGCACCCTTCCGGTTTCCAGGTGAGGGGAGTGGCATGGGTGATGCGGGCTCTGAGGAGCCCTCCCAGGCCTGGGGTGCGGCCTTGTCTCTGGAGAGGACACAAGGCCGATGATGAGGATGCAGAAGCTAGAGAGCCTGGGGCAGCCAGGACACCCTGTGGGGCGGGATTCTAAGGACACAGGTCTGCTGAGCGAGTGTCTGGGCCTGCGCTGCCCCACTCACTTCCCCACTCACCGCAGGCTCCGAAGCAGCTTCATTTCTTCCTTCAGGATCTTGTTTTCCTCCCTCAGCCCATTCATCTCATTGGCTGCAAAGAGTGTGGTGATTAGTGGGGTTATGGGGCAGGGTGGAGACAAGGGGCTCCCACAGCACCAGAGAGGCTCTCTCACTGTCTTGCTCTATTCTGGCTCATAGCAGGCAGGAGTGTAAAACTGGCTGTAGGAGTGAATTGTGGGATGGTGTTGGGTGAACCTCTGCCTGCGGTCTGCAGAAGGATGAGGTCAACTCTCCAGCTTGTCCCTAGAGCTCCCTCAAGAAGGTCAGGGGAGTGGGGAATGCCCTGGCCCCTGGGGGCCTCATCCTATGTGTCTGGGCATCATATCTCCTCCTTTCCCCGTGGCTCTGTGTGGGCTGACCAGGCCCTGGAGTCCCCGGCCTGTGGGTGTGGCTCACTGAGGATGCAGAGATGCTGCAGGCTCTGCAGGTGTGCACTCTCCAGTTCCAGCTGCTTCTTTCTGGCCAGCTCCTGGGTGACCATGCAGCGATCGCACAGGCCAGCCCGCAGCCTGGGGACAGGAGAAGTCACACTGAGGCAGACATTTGGTTCTGTATGCCCCGTTGCCAGGATGTGTCCTGCCTTTCCCAACTGTGGTCCATGGTCCCCCAGGCCTGCCTCCTGCTGAAGGCTTAAGCATCCCATGTGCAATTAAGTTTGGGAAGGATTTTCTCTTAAGGTTCTGTAAAGCCCGGCTTTGAAGACACCTGTCTGGCTTGGTCTGTGCTAAAGGCCCCCAGGTTGACTCTGGGGGGCCCTCACCTATTTTCTAGCACCCTCAGGTTCTCCTTCAGCGCCTTCTGCTGCTCCCGGAGCTGGTGGTTTTTGGCAAACAGCTCTTCTATTCTCTGTGCGTCCCTGTGTGGCAAACAGCTGAGGTGGAACGCTCGTCTTAATGGCCAGCGTAGCCCGGGTTTGGGTGGGTACCCCTTGGCAGCTCCCTGTAGGGACCTGTCTTAGCATGTGGCCCTTCAAATGGGGCTCAGTTCCACACCCCCAGATAGAACTGTTCTCACGGCCCATCTTGTCTTCATGTTACCTAAGCTACGGCACAATGGACCCTGGTCTAGTCCGTCGTTTCTCAACCTGGGGATCGCAACTCCTTGTGAGAGGGGTGTCGAACAACCCTTTTATAAGGATCATCGGAAAGCACAGGTATTTACATTATGATCCATTGATAGTAGCAAAATTACAGTTCTGAAGTAGCAATGAAAATAATCTAATGGTTGGGGGTCAGCACAACATGAGGAACTGTGTTAAAGGACCACAGTGTTAGGAAGATTGAGAACCACTCACTTAGCCTTAGATGGGACACAGGAAGGTGACCTGCAGGTCAGCCACCAGCAATGAGGCTATGCATTGGATCCCACAACAAGTACTGTCACGGGTGCTTTGGTCTCACTGGGTCTCCGAGTGGAGGGCCACACCAGACCCATTGGGGCTAACATCTCAGTGGTCTAGTCCTGACTCTACCACATAAACAGTGTCACTTGACCACGAGACTCCCTGCCCTCTCCCTGCCACACTGTTTCCCTTCTTCATCTGGAATCCTGGGTGCTCTGCCATCCTGGGACCTTGGGGGCAGTGTGGGTGGCCATGGCCTGTGGAAACAGCTGCCCTCCTGTCTGTTCCGCTGGCTTGGCTGGGTTGACTCACCGGCACCGCTCCGAGTTCAGTTCTAGAAGCTTGTTCTGCAGGCCTAGCAGAGAGGATAGACAGGTACAGGTCAGGTCCAGCGGCTTCCCACATCACCGATAGAGCTGAGGCATGAGGTGGAAACTCCTGCCCTGGCTGTCACATGGGATCCTCTCCAGACTCCGGCTGACTGACACCCACCCGATCTGCACCTGCAGCCCAAATGCTCTAATTTCCTGATCTGAGGCCGGGGTCCCTAGCTTAGCATTTAATCAGAGGTTAACAGAGACCCTGGTCCTGGAAGTGGTTGGCTACCTGGCAGGAGCAGAGCATCCAAGAGCGGCTACTTTTTTGGGGGTGGTAGTGCTAGTGTTTCTTCAGAAGCTTCTAGTGTCTACTGGGTACGTGGAGTGGGACCAAAAGAGCTGCCACCTGCCTTTCTCTTCTACTTAGGCTCTGCTTGGTCTTCAGATCGGCTCAAGCTTAGGGTGGGTCTGCCATCCATCTACTCACTCAGCAGCAACAAGTTCTTAGTCCCCAGGGTTCAGCAGCCTCTGCCCCACCCTGAGCTCCTGTATACCCAACCAAGTCTCTTAGGTACGATGAAGATTGTCTGACAGCCCAAACCAATTGCCAAAAGAAGATCCACTTCTCTTTAGGGAGTGTTCTGGTCTCCTCTTGGTCAGTGCTGGCTCCTCACCTCTCAAGATGAAATCCTATTAACCATAGCTTGTATCCCCACGCACACGGCCAGGTATTGTTTCTGTTGCTTCTGGGACATTTCCCAAAACACTAGATGTGCAGGCAACAGGCCCTCAGAGCAAGTTCTCACTGACACACCTCTTTGGGATCCAGTGAGACTGAACCCAGCCTGGGTAGGCCTGGGGGTTCCAAGGACAGACTGGCTTCTTCCCTGAGGCTTGGGGAAGTGTCTGGCTTTCTTGACCTTCAGATGGCTCTTTCTGGAAGGCCTCCAAGGACTGAATTGGAATTGTAATGAGGTGGGTGGAGGGCACCCAGACCCAGGGAACTTAGCAGGGGATGGAGGGAGAGGGAGTGTCTGTTCAGAGACACTTCTTTCGGCTTCAGGAGGTCTAGAATGGGCAGCCTCTCTCTCTCTGGCTGAGGAGATATTGTGCTGGAGCTGCTAGCCCTCTGAGAAGACACAGCAGGGCCGTGCTTGGGGGCTGGATGCAGTTTGTGGTCATGAGGTGTTGATGGTGATCCCTGAATAGGTCCCTCTTCCGGTTCACACTATGGGGTGTGGTCTGAAAACATTCCGGATGAGGAAGTGCTCCAAGCCGAGTCTGGACACTGTGCAATTTGTGTCCTTCAGTCAGGATTCTGTTTTCCAGACAGACCTACTGAGTGCCAGAGTGGGATCCTGAAAGTTCCCTAACCTGCCCAGACCCCCAAGACCATCTTCCTAAGAGCACAGGGAAGCCTTCTACTAACCACTTACCCAGAACCTCCTTCTCATGGGCCTCCTTCAGTCTGTTCAGTGACTCCATGAAGCTGTCCATGGCTCCTTGTGTGCTGGCCACTCTGCACTAGCTCACAGGAGGGTTGGGAGCTCTACTGCCCTTCTGGGTCCAGCCTGTAGGTAGGGGAGTTGGGTAGAAGGTTGATTTAAGTAGGGGCTTGGGCTGAAAAGGAGGTGAGCTTTTCAGGCGTGGGGCAAATCTGTTTTCTGTGAGGGGCTGGATGGTGGAGGATGAAAGGGTTAATAGAAGCTGCATGGGGCCAGAGTACTGGACAGACTGACATCTGGAGGCTGGGCTAGGAGTGCGGAGAAGGGCAGTGGATCCTGTGTCACACAGTGGCCGTGGTGGCCACAGGAACTCACCAAGCAAAGACATCTATGGTATGGGGACAGAAACCAGGAAGAAGATGGGCTCCCAAACTGTTCACAGATCCACCTGGGCTCTATCTCCTCCAAGGCTAGCTACAGTCACACACCTCACAGTAGGTGAGGGGTATGGGAATGAAGAATTGGGAGGTCCCTCAGTCAGGAGCTGGGAGCTGAGGTGGGAGCCGAGGCTCACCTTAAGGAGGGATATCCTTGTGGGCTAACTAAGCTCCCTAGCCTTGAGGGTCAGATGCCGCATGGTCCAGACTTAGATCACATGACCAGGACCTAGCTGCCTTTCTTCTTCCTTGAATTCAATGCCTTTTACCGTCTAATCCTCAAGGCAGCCCCAGGAACCTCTCTCCAAGTGGGGGAACTGAGGTTCAAAGAGGTCTCGCCCCCACCTTGTTCGGATTTGAACTCAGACTTGATTATTCACCCAGCATGAGCTCAGGATGTTTTCCAGAGGGCCGGTATGCTCAGCTGTGTAAGCCTTACCTTGCTGAAGGCAAGGAGGTGGGACCAGCTGGTTAGGACAAACAGGGCTAGGAAGGGGTTAAGCCAGCACCTGCAATTCCACCCAGACTCGCCCAGCAGGTGGCTCTTCCCCAGCCCCTAGCACCTGCTTTATGGACTGGGCCAACACCTGTAGAGGAGCCTGTAGGCTCCGGTGAGACATGTATGGACTCTGGGTCTATACGTTGTTTACTGTCTTCATTCTAGTAACACACCACTTGGCGGTTACTCTCAAGGTCCCCAAAGAACAGTCCTGAATTCTCTGCTGGACACTGACTTAGTTCCCTCAGATCTCCCTGGTGTGTCCTGTCCAGGGACCCAGGGCCATGACAAGACCAAACAAGGTCGTCCTGATCCAGGATAACATTGTTATAGGGATGACATGACTTCCCTGGTAATCAGATGGCAGAGACACATACAACTGAGATAAAGTGGACGTCAGTTTCCTGGGCCTCTGCCATGCCTAGGGTGTCCCTGTGTCCAGCTTCTAGCATTCTAGAGTTTTGGGGGTTTGGGCAGGACAGGAAATGGAGGGTGGTAGATGCCTGGATGCATCCTTCAAGCCATTTTGGTGCAGAAATGGGCACCCGTGGGAGGAATGAACCCGGCTTTTAAGAATACACAGGCCCATGCCCAGAAGCCTGTGTCAGCAGAGTGGCTGTCCCCAGGAGGCCTGCTCTGTGAGTCTAGGCTTGTTGAAGGTGGCTAGCAACTTGGGAATGCAGGGAACTCTGTGGGTGGGAGTGGGTCTTTTCAGAGGCCAAGGCTGTCTTTTGCATCCAGCTGTGGGGAGCTGTGAAGTTAGAAGGAACCTGCAAGGGTGATAGGCTTGGTGCAATCTTCAACCCAGAAGGGTGGTACCCAGGAATGTGTGAGGGTGCTTTGGGGCTGCGAAATGCAGAGTGGTGATGGGGGTAGGCAGAGATATGAACCCTAACCCTGAGCCTTAGGGTCCCTAGATAGTGCCCTCACTCTTGACATCAGGTCGGAATGTCTGTGTGGGCACTGAGTCCTTGGGGAGGAGCTGGTAGAGGGACAAGGCAGCAGAACAGCTTCTGCTCCATCTTTTGCTGCTGCCTGGGCAGTTGGGGAGGCAGGTACGAAGTTGGGAGCAGCTGCCACCTACAAAGATATTACACACCCTCAGGCCAATCTGCCTCCCTTTGTCTGGATGCAGGGACAGAGGTGGTTTGTTCAGAATTAAAGCCGGCAAGAGGCAGGAGGGTTTGAGATATGGCTGGCTTCTTCATGGATGGGTTGAATGCTACTCAAACCAACTCAGTGCAGCTCACCAGAACCAGACAGAGCATGTCCCTAAGCTGGATCGCTCCCCTGTCAGTGCTTAGGAAAGCACTCTACAGTGAGGAAGCCTGAGGGATGGCAGAAGCTTGCTATCCCAAGTTCTCACCAGGAGGTAATACTCTAAGCTCTGCCTGCCTCCCAGGGAGCCAACTTGAACCTCAGGTTCCCTCCTGTAATGTCCCCACCCCCACTCCCAGTCCCTTACTTGCTACAAGGATTTCCACCTACTCCATGGAACCTCTACTTGTCTCAAGGGCCCCTATCAGCACCTTTGGGTCCCCTTGTACCTTCTAAGGTACATGCTCCATGGGGGCCTCCACTACTACCCCAAGGGCCCCCACTACCCTCCCAGGAGCCCCACCTGAACCTTAGACCCCCCCCCACTTACTCTATGGGGCCCTACCTGTTCTGCAGAGCTCCCACCTGCTCTTCAGGCTCACCTGCCTCCAAGGAGCCTCAAGTGAACCTCAGACCCTTCACCTGTACCTCACAGTTCCCCAGAGGGGCCTCCCATTGCCAATCACAGCAGACTAGCTGTGTGTCCCAGAGGACACAGGAGCGCTAGCCTAGAGCGCTAGCCTGGGCTTTGAAAACGATTCTTCCTTCCTATGTATAGCCTTGGGTAAGTTGCTTTGAGCCCCTGTTTCCTCATCTGGGGGTAATGACACACCCATGTCCTGTATTGGGTTTCTGTAAGACTCTCACAGGTATCACATGTTCCAGGCAGAAGGCAGGAGGCCGTTTTCTGTGTGTGAAGGAGGGAACCCTGAACTCCTATCTCCCTCACGTACAGCCCCCAGGGGACTAACAGTGCCCTCCCTCCTTGTGACAGGCCTGAGCCTCACAAACAAAAAGACCTTTTGTAGGTGGACAGATCCCTCCCCGTGTTAAAGTGATCACTAGTCTGTGGGTTTTGGTGGCCATTCTCAGGGAAGGTGCCATACATTCCCTACAGGGGAGGGCTCATGGCCCCAGCTGTAACTCCCAATAAGAACAGACGTGGCAAAGCCCAAGTGGTGGGTCAGTGGCCATACCTAGATGTGTTCTCTGGGGCAGCTGGAGCCCCTGGACTCCTGTCACTGGTGGGTGATGGCAGCTGGCTTCCTTCCCTTTCCAGAGTGCTAAATCAGAGACCAGCGGCATCCGCCCTGTCTGGCTCTCCTCAATGCCTGGCCTCCTTTCTTCTAGCAGGCCCTCAAGGGAAGAGGACTCTTCAGCAAACCCTCATTCTGGTTCTATAAGGATGAGCTGTTGGTCAACCCATCTGATGTCCACTTAGCCACAAAAAGCAGCAATAGGCACAGAGGTGGTAATGACGGCAGATGCTGCTGTACACAGTACTGAGGACGTACTGAGTACCCCATGCTACACAATCTGACTCCAAGACATGGAGCAGACGAAAGGCAGGGAGGCAGAGGCTGAATTTGAACAAGAGTCTGGCTGCTTCCCTCTCCTCTCAATGGGCAAAGCATCTCCCATAGTAGCTTTAGCCAAGCGACTACTCGTCTGGCTGTGCCTCGGTTTCCCCACCCATAAACCTGGTGGTGGTGACCACAGAGATAGGAGGAGCCTGATACATAGTGGGAGCTTCCATGCCTGATCCAGGGGATGGCAGCTCTTATTTTATAGAGATCTGAGATTAAGAGATGGTATCTGCCTACAATCATCAGCTCACAAGAGATACAGGCTAGACACACAGGCCTCCCGGCAACCTCTTGGGTCGGTCCGGGTTGCGGCTGTATGGAGAGAGGTTTCCTCCGGAGGGTGGCTTCTGATATCTTTCTGACAATAAACCCGCAGAGACAGGTAGCCTCCTTCTACAGAGCAACACTTTCGACTGGAGAAACCCTCATCTGTGTATACATGCCAAAAGTAAATGCCTTTGCACAATGTCAGCCCATCCCTTTCCACGCACACGACCCTTCCACGGGGCTAGGGATGGCTGTGTACACACAGGCAGTGGACACAGACATTTTCATGTCTCACGCTTGTGTGCACACTGCCTGCCTGGGCACAAGTAAAAAGAATAAGGTAGCTTTGCAGCTCAGGTGACAGAGGGCCCTGCAACCTGACTCCATCCTCCCAGACCTGGGGCAGGAGACCGAGTAGGCCAGTGACTGATCCTACTGTCTCCCACTGCCTGCTGCACTACTGCAGTTATTGACCCAACTTCAGGGCCTGACAATGTCCCCCTGCCAAGCTCAGAGCTATGGGCGGCTGGACCTGGCCTTGTGCTCCCCTCGTTCCCATGACTGCACAGTCTCTGGACCCACAGGAGTTGGCGGTGGGAGACTGAGGACACGGTGCCTGTTAGGGATAGGACACCAGCCTATATCCCAGGCCCTGGAGCCCCCTGCAGAGATTGGGGCCACCGTGCCTCACCAGGGTTTGCATTTGCTGCTCCCAAAGTTCTGCCCAGGAAACCCTTGAGCCTTCCTCGTCCTTGCTTGGTCCCTAGGAGCAGGCATCAGGTAGTCCTCCATACCTCCTACAGGTGAAGGCAGGCCAGCCTGCCTGTCCCTGCCTCCCGCCTCCCAGGCCTTTGCTTCCTGCCTTCTGCCTCCGGGCTGCCTGCTCTGAAGTCTGAGCTGGGTATCCAGCTCCCATGGTGAGCACCCCAACAACTCTAGCCCACCCAGCTCCTAGAAGGGCCCTGCCTGCTGTAAGCATGTACTCACATGGCCACTTGGCCAGCCTTGGACCTCCAGGGGCCTCGGTCCTGAGTGATCCCCTCCTGGGAGAGATAGGAGCAAGCAGCATGAACTTGCAAGACAGAATTTTGACCAAACCCGCCTGACAGGTTTCCGATTCTCCCAGCCGGGAGCTGCTAGGAGGCAGGGACTGCCCAAAGCCGCT